ATACATAGATGATTTTTTCAGATATGACGGAGAAACTTTTGTAAAAGAAGTAGATGTGAACTATATTATGTGGGAACAGCACGGACGAGCAGGCTACAAGTACAGTGCAACAATGAAAGAGGTGTGTCACTGGGGCAAGCGAGTAGCTGTAGGCAACTTAAGTGTCTGCTTTTAGATCTGAAGTGTTAGCGTTGGTAGTTATAATGTAGGTGAGATACTTTTATATCTATATATTACAATAAGATGGTTTTACAGCTTTGGAATCCTGGAAAGAAAGAGCAAAGCGAAGCTACTAGTACGCCGACGTGATCCCACCGTAAATTTATTTGCTTTTTTTTAATCTTGGATTCCAGTGCTCTAAAACTACCTGATTCTAAAATTTATTTCTTATAAAAAGCCACTTATACTTCGGCCAGGCTTTGAAAAACGTACAACCAGGGAAAAGTGTGGGAAGACGCGTAACCGGACGAAAGATCGGCAAAACATGTAACCGATGGCAAGCGCGGGAAATCATGAAGCAGAGAGCACGGGAAACCGTGTAACGGACGAAAAACGCGAGAATAGTCGGGTAGGGCAATACTTATTTATATTTGATTGGCCAAACACAACACATCTCCCTGATTGATTTGTTTTGGAAGTTTTTTAATGATCACGGAGCCGAAGTGCCGTTTTTGTTTAAGTTTACATCACTATAATGAAAATAAGTGTTTTGTTGTTGAAAGACTTGAAAGTCAGTGAAGGCTTACGAAAGCGCTATTTTCATTTCTACGCATCAGGCTGGGTGTATTAGTGAGGCGCAGAGTTGGGAAAAGATGATACGCGGGTCTACTCAGGAAGAAACCATGGAATCAGCGTGGTCTAAAGAGGTATGACTACTATGCAAGTTTCGACTGGTGCCAAGCCGAGAAGTGTTATTTAAAGAAAATAACGCAATGAGCGAAAAAACCTCAACTCAGTTATTCTGGTTCTTACTTGATTAATGTGCACCGTTCAAAAGAAAGGTATGTACAGGAGCATAACATTCATACATGGTGCAGCTGGTTGCCCTTAATAACATGGCCCTTGAAACCTTAGAGTGTGACCAGCATTCAAATAAAAAGCTGCAAATGAGATTGTAACGTTGGGCCACGTGGCACTTGTAAAAGTAGTAAGTAAGCAAAGAGTTAAGGTAGTAACACTGGAATTGTACGGAATCCTTAGAAAAGAAACGTGAAATTCTTTGTCCCTGGTGGGATTTTCACCGATTGAGTTACAAACCAGACGGGAGTTGGTCATGGGTAATTTATACAGCTTGTAAACGTTCCAATTATAATAGAACCAATCTTCTTCTCCACTTAATTCAACAGAATTACCAGAGCTGTTTTCAACAGAATTCTCCCTTGTCTGTAGCTAATCTTGATCAGCCATATGAAATCCTTAACAGCTCTGAAGCCTCCTCGCATATTGTGTGGAGTGATGTCGGCACGTTTGTCTTCACGCTGAAAGTTATCGATCCTGACTTCAGGTATTAACAAGAAATAAGTAAACATGATCAAAGATGATTGTGGCACCCAAAATCGTTCCATGGCCCATATCGTATTTGTACCACAGTTGTATTGTATTCGCGTCTCTATGAACAGCTTCAGGCTCTTCAAACTCAAGATATAGCTTCTGCTGACTTAATAAATGTAGATGTAGATATAACAAAACAAGAGCGTGATTCCAGCCTACCAGCGGTATTTCTTTTCCAAAACTTCAAGAATCGTTTTGAGCTTTGAACCGGCGGTGCTCGCAAGAAATTCTATAAAGAACCTCTAATAAGTACCAAGGAGCCAAGATCCTGTATTGTGGGCGTGGCTTGACATTTTTTTCACCCCTAAGAGGTACCATTTCTAAAACAACACCTTATCTCTAGTTCAAACCGGGCCCAGAATCAACCGTTAAATCTAGCCTGTGATTGACGTCTACAGCCAGGTGTCTTAATCTTTGTGTGTCTGTCATTTTTTCCATCACAGCTTCTGTAACCTGACGATGGAGTTTGGTGTTCAAGTGTACGGCGCAGGGAGCGCGATGGAAGAGATTCCTACTTTTGTTGTCCTTGGTTCTTCTTGTCTTGCCACCGTAATCCTGCTTTTTTCCGGTTACTACACGGCTGTGCTTTGTTCAAACTAACCATGTGCTTCACTTTGTAACTTGTTTTAAAATGAGCTTTATTTCAAAAACTCTTTAAGAGCCAGAGGACTTTCTTGTTGAAAAACGTTTCAAACGCCGTATTAAACACGCACCCCCGGAGGACAACTCTTGACGGAGTTGAACTCAATACTCTTGAAAGCAGATTTAAAAGAATCGTTGCCTGGGCCCTGCGGTTATCTTTGTTGCTATTAAAATTGTAGCATTTGATAACCTGTTTGCTGTTGTGATTTTATTATCTTGAAGCCTTAGTTGTTTAAAGGGTTAATAACGCTATCCACTGGGAGAATCACTACCCAGAACAGGGGTGGCTACAGGACAGGGTTCCAAATTCATTTAAGCTGTCTTACGGTAACTTCTCACAATTTAAATTCCAAGCCCTTGAGCCGAAGGAAATTGCGGTTGCGCCGTCTAACACTTCGACACGTTAATAAAGTTCTTATCTTATCTTTTCTTGCCGTAATATCTTCAACCTCTCGTCACGGTTTCACATCAATAGAAACCGTCAATTGGAGTACATTTGCGCATTGCATAGTGTATCATAACAGAACGCTTCTCTTTTGTACGGTGATAACCATTATGTAGATGACAACAGTGTCGAAATACAAGCTCACACGGTACTCAAACTCAGATGCCTAGTCTACTGTCTTAATGTCTGTAATGTATGCGCTTCGGTTCCCACCGTCAATAATGATGCGCGCCTCGTTTTGGCGCGTGTTTACGGGACCGCCATTTTTTGAATGTTGTAGTTTTGAGATATGCTACAGAATAGTAAAGAATAAGTCATATTAAATTGAAAGAATACTTTATATATCCCGTGATATCAAGTCACTGTAGGCCGGCTGGATCAGTGGCGGACCTAACCGTACCGACCGTGCCGTTTTTGGAACAGCTCTGGAAGGATATAAGGCTTGCTTGGCACCGGAATTGGTTCAATAATTAGATCTTTTGTCAGGTCAGAATTCGGACCGGATCAGACTGTAGGACCAAATAGCCGGCAATGTGGAGTATGTTAGCAAGTCCCATATGCACGAGGGCCAGGTGTTTTCAACTAGATCCTTCAAGAGCGGGTCCTACGTCCGAGAACGGCCCAGTCTAATTATGACCTGGCACTCTTGACTCTTGAGTCGCCTTCAGCTCGATGGTAGCACCCGTAACCTGCGTTGCAGGCGTAAACGCCAAACGGGTAGGGAGACATAAAAACCGGACTGAAGAAACTTAGTAAGGAACCAGTCTCCCTCCTTCCATCCGCGCTTTTCATCCCTGACCCTCCTCCGTTTAACGCCTGCTACGGAGGCTACTACAGAACCTGTGACCGATGCACAGAAGGGATCCATCATATGGGTAATCACAGGGGTGGTTTGGGGGAGGGGCTCGACTTCTGTTGAGAGAGCTCGGAAATTTTTTATTCCAAGTGGTTTTCGGTGTTATTCAGCTATTAACTCTTTTCCAACTCTCCACCAAAGTTACTGAATTTTTACACACAAATGCTGCAGAATGACACATTTCCTTTTGTGCAATGCCTGATTTTGAGAAGAAGTTTAGTTGCAATTCTGTCCCCGCAACAAAAAGAATGAAAGCCAGCCGGTTTGAATTCGTAGGTCATAAAGCAGGGACAAAACGACCTCAATTTTTCATGTCGCCTCGTGTGCACTACTCTTGCAAACTGTCCTCGCTACAACATACAAATGAACCAAGCAGCACCAGCTTGCAGCTAGCTTGCGTATTGCCCCTGCAACATGCTTGTCCTCGCTTCACGTCTCGTAACGTGTCCCTTAGTGTGTACCGACCGGAATATTTAGGTGACTTGTCTGGATTTTGGATCTGAACGCCTGATAGTTCACTGTCAAATTAAAGGTGCTGTTGGTTAAGCTATTGCCTAGTTCCTGTACGGCTTTATCCCAGGCCTTCACGGTCAATTGATTTTCAGTGCGATTGACCGCGGCGAAATATTGAGGCCTAGGAACTAGGCAAGGTAAGCTTATAACAGTTGCACATTCAGAGCGGAAAAAAATAAAAAGCGTGCGCCAGTCTTGGACGCCAGGCTCCAAGTTTGACAAAGTGGCGGAAATTTCGTCGATCGTGCAAACCAAAAACAATTACGAAATTTATATGCTTTTCCAATTTTCTCGGTAAACTGCAACATTTTCACGTCACTAAAGGAAAGCTGGTGTATTATTTTCGTGGGAATCAATTTTTTTTCGGACAAAATTAACCTAAAGAAGTTTTCCGAACCCTTTATTTTCCCGCGGTATACAAGAATGACACATTTTTTTTCCACAAATTCTCTTTGCATAATGCATTCACATAAGCACACCACTGAATAGATAAGCAAGAGAACCTCTGAGCAGTCAGGGGACCTTGTTTTCTTAACAGTGAAATGCCGAAAAAAAATTCATGCTTGGCAACCGAGCGACATCCCCGCGTGCCGCGCAGAAAGCTGTGCAGTACTTTTTCCGCTCTGAATACTGAACCCGTTTCAAGTACTGAAGCCGAGTACTATAGGAGAATCTTTGTTTACAATATTTGCCTCATTACCATAAGCGATACAGTTTCTGATGGAGCTACAAAGAGATTAATACTGAATATTGAAAGGGCACAGCACGATTAACTGTCCCAAGGAATTTGAGCGTGATGTATTGAATACTTTTTGTGCGACGCGGGTTTAAAAGCTCAAAATTTTACAAAGAATGTGTGAGCTCATTAGCGCTTTTGCCATACAGAAATTTTGATGTTTTTGAAAGCCAATTTCCCGTCGAATATTACACCCAAAGAGCCAGAAATTTCACCACTTACTAAGTTTCAAAAGCTCTTTAAGTTTTTCTAGTAAAATCGTGTCTAGCATGATGCCTTCTATGCGCAAAGTCGTATGTTAATGAGGAAAAATGTAAACAATGACGTCAGCAAAGATTCGCCTATAAAACAAAGTGTTCAACGCTCAGAAGTTTTTCATCCATTAAATCATGTTACAGTAATATTCATTTGTCTGCTTTCCTGAAAAAAAAATTAAATAAGTATCCATCTAATGGAAGAATTCTAAATATACCCAAATGGTAAAAGCTTGCAAACAAAAAGTCAGCGACGCGCTTATTCCAACAAAAGCAACATTCCGCATTGATGATATAATCGAAGTGCGCGCTTTTCTCAAGGCATCATTTTTGAAGTAATTGAAGGCTCAAAAAATCTTGACGAAAAATTCTGAAAACGCCTTATAATGCATTCTGTTTAATTCAAGCATTTTTTCGTGTAGTTGCGTGGAATGAATTTTAATCACATATATAAAGAGGTGTTCAAATGACACACCCTTAGTTTATACGTTGTTCATCGTTGTACTGTGAAGCGAAGCAGCGGACATCTTTTTTAATGTGATTCCTTCAGGTAAGTTCATCTTCTCTCTCTTTTTTGTATCATTTCTATTCATTTAATTGTTATATAGCTTTAGTTTTTACTTCTAAATTCCGTTAGCCTTCCAATTTTGGCCAGTAAACGGACTTGTGACCACGCCGTGAAGTTCAGCGCGAGTTGTCCTTCGGTCGCTCCGTGGGAATCGTCGTGTCGCAGGTTGTTTGAGTAATCAGGGTTCGCAAACAATTTTTGCTCGAAGTTAATCATTGCATGACTCTGCTTGTTTTTCGGCCAAGCGCAGACCAGTCGGTTCAAATAAACTTCTAATTCATGTGCATTTTCATTCTTGTACAAATCAAACGAAACTTTGACTTTCAAACTGCAAATTTTCAAACTCTTTCCAGTTTCGGCTTGTTTGCAGTCGTTTAAAAATTACATTTTTATTGAGTACGTATTGCAGTTTTAAGCTTATGCACGTTTTTTTCGTGCTTCTTTAGTTCAGCTTTTCGTGTCACTCTTGCCCTGGCAGTTTTTGAATTTACCGTGCTGTCACTTCAGCGGTTCGTCCTGACAAGAACGATTGGATAATGTGTTTCAAACCATGCAGACTTTTAGGAGGAGCGTATTTCAGGTAGTCATCAGGTATTTGCTAACCCAAGCGAGATTTCACAGTCAGACACTGTTATCACGCTCCAGGCTTTGCCAGGCTTTTGCTTGTTCCCGCTTTAATCTGAAATTTTGATTCCGGTGAAAACTTGGCACCAAATACAGTGTTTTTGTTCTCATGGTGGCAAATAATTTCTTCTATGCTGTTTTAAACTAAGTTATGCAAGATCCATTCAAAAACTAAAAATAACACACAAGCGCAAGCTCGACCATAACCACTGGCAGCATGGTGTGTTCAGAGCCTGCACAGATGATCAATAACAGTGAAAAAAAGTCAAATTAACGGCTAACAGTGTTTCTCGAGTCTTTAAATACAAATAGCCTAAAGTATTGCTTTTTGTTGTTGTTTTCACAATCCGACGGAACAGCATAGCAGAGACGTGTCCCAAGAAATTGCGTTGGAGCAGTCTCCCTCAGCCAGTTGCCGCAAATCAAACTGACAAGCTACTCCTGCAGGCCAGCTTCTTAGTGACACAAGCCACTACTTCAATTTCAGAATTCAGATAAGTTAATTGTGTTGTTTTTTAGATTTTTAAACTCCTGTGGTGTTGATATATAAGCCCAATTTCATGGTATTGGATAACAGTCCGAACCGGTCCTGGAGGCAGTATTAGGATATTTTCATTACTTTGCTATAATTCCAGATTTGGTAAATTTGTAATAATTTGACCTGATGTGAAAATTGCTTTACCGTTGAAAGAAACAATGGTAACAGGTTATCTTTCGCTGTTTTTCTTACAGTTTTTATCCTTTGAGATGCTGTCCAGCCACTAGGGAGCTCAACTGAAGCAGTGGTTCTGTTTGGTGAATGGCATCTCCATTCCATAAAGGTGAGTTTTTATTAGTAAGCAGGGTCGAAGCACTTTAAAGACTTTGAAAAAGCAGGCTTTTGTTCGCACGATCCAAAGTCACAGCTGTGTTTTCTAAGGAGTTCTCGGAAGTACTTCTGTTCTGAAAAGTACAGCAAGGATGATTAAGGATTTGGATTGTTTACTGGTGTTTTCCTATTTTCCAGGTTGAGCCGTGGTGTATTGTTTTACTCAGTGTATCAAAGTTTAAGGACTCTTCCTGAGTGCGGAGTGCAACCATCAGTTTTTGGATCTAAGTGTGCAGCATGACGTCTCGGAAAGCCATTTTAAACATCTTATTATTTCAGATAGGTGAATAGTAGTTATCTTATTTCTGTTGTCATGTACCGTGAAACTGTTTCAACCTGATGTCTCTTTACCATCACAATGCACTGTTAAGATATTAGATAATCTTCAGTTATTTATCCACGGTAAAATAAAAATTCGTCAGCTACTTGCGAAGAAAACCATTAACCAGGGGATGAAAGATGGTCTCAATGTACTACCAAATTGCCTAATTGCCTAATTGCCTTAGGGCTGGTGTGGACCTGCCATAAAATTTAACTAACCTAAAATTTTACAAAGAACGAAAATCTGGGTTTTTAGAATTAATAATCTTGACAGACTACACGATGAACTGATCATGAAGGCGGAGCTGTTTTATGCTGACGTAATAAGATAAATTGAAGCTAAGAGTATGACCCTACCTCAAAATTTTAGGAATTTGAAATTATTTCTGATTTACATTCCCGCAAAATAGGCGTAGGTTATATTGAAGTTTCCTTTGTTTTTCTCTAGGTCGAAAAGAGATTTACTAAATAAAAGGGCAAAGGCTACTAGGTGCAACCCTTTGGATGGACGTGATGGCATGTGCAGCTCTTGGACTCAGATGCAAGCTGAATATTGGAAACATATTAAGATAAGTCCATCTTATGAGCTCGAGGTTTCTATGAGGTGATAGGTTTTCATTCTTTAACAAAATCAGGAAGATTGAATTGTTGCTAGGAACTGAGTTCACACACTTGTCCGCTTTTGACCGCAATTTACAGTTTCTAAGGTCGAATAACAACGAATGTTCTTCTTTTCGTTTTTACCTAAAGCGAGGAAAACAAGAAAAACGTCGCCATTTTGTAGACGACCTCCAATGGCTAATTGTTACGATAGTTAAACCTAACAGATTGCAGTATTTGTATTAGTGCCCAAGTGGAATTCTACTAATTGTTTTTGTTCCTTCTGTCATTTATAATTACCACTTCATGGTTTGTCGCAAAAAAGTAATAAAAATGAAATGTTCCGGTTCAAATGTATTCATTATCGAGAGTCAGATGCACAAAGAATTTCATTAACTATACGACGTTGATTTATTGCCAAATTATCAGAATCAACCTAAAAGAAGACCCAAGGAATCAAGATATTCTCTTCATTTTGTTATGTTCGTGGTCAGCAAGAAACCGCGAAACTTTGTTTTATTGAATTAACGGAATAACGTTTAAGCCTCAAATGATTCAACAACTGCATACTGCGCTTACCAAAAACTCTTTTCAAGGAGATCCTGAAACAAACTAAACGTTAAATACTGATATGTATTAAATAGATTATTTAGGGCATTGATAAAAATGGCTAGAAAAATACTGCAAATGCAAACTGAAGGTAAAATATCTGCACGTAACAAAAACTTGTGCCGAAACGAAATATATTCTATGACCAAATTGTAGTTTAGACCCCGGATAATCACAACTGGTGTCATTTCAAGAAGAATTTCATGAAGACTCTTCACTAAGTCATTTGTTTCTTACACGTTGTACACTTGAAAACTCACTTCATATACACGAAGTATCTGAAGTTTTGATCTAACTATATGGTCACTTATCTTGAAGAAATAACACCCTAAGGGATTTTGCCTTCATAGGCCAATTTTCAAGTAAATTGTAAAAGAATTTCCAAGGAATTTTCACAGAATTATCAAACAATAGTCAAACAGTTGTCAAAGAATTGTTAACAACTGGCAAAGAATTGTCAAAAACTGTCAAAGAATTGTCAAGGAATTCTAACTAAATGTCAATGTTTCGTCGAAGAATTTTCTTAGAATTTTCAAAGAAGTGTCAAAGAAGTGTCGAAGAATTGTCAAAGAAATGTCAAAGAATTGTCTAAGAATTTTCAAGGACTTGTTTCACAGATTTCCAAAAAATGTCTAAGAATTGTCAAAGAACTGCCAAAGAAAGGTGAAAGAAATGTCAAGGAATTTTCAAGGAACTGTCAAAGAATTTTCCAAAAAATTTTGTAAGAATTGTCTAAGAATTGTCTAAGAATTGTCTAAGAATTGTTTAAGAATTGCCTAAAAGTTGACTAAGAATTGCCCAAAAATTGACTAAGGATTCACTAAGAATTGTCTAAGAATTGTCTAAGAATTGCCTAACAACTGCCTACGAATTGTCCAAGAATTGACCAAGAATTACATAAGAAAAATGTAAAAAATGGTCTAAGAATGGTCTAAGAATTGCCTAACAACTGCCTACGAATTGTCCAAGAATTGACCAAGAATTACGTAAGAAAAATGTAAAAAATGGTCTAAGAATGGTCTAAGAATTGCCTGGCAATTGCTTAAGAATTGACTAAGAATAGCCCTTTTCACGGTTAATTTTTCTCATTTGCATTACAATGTAGTCCAACGTGGATGCGAGGCAATTTCGGGCTAAAACTACAAAATAGCCCGAAATTGCCTCAC